AGCCTACATGTCGATGGCCATTCAAGATACACCATGCACTAGGCAGAAGATTCCCCAACCACCATCACCCATCTGCGCACGTGAGATCGCCTGAGGACGCGCCGCCAAAAACGAAGTCAACGAAGCACCGCGGGCACGCAACGGACCAGGCCGATAGCGGAGCGGCGCGGCGCTCCTGGTCGCGCCTCGTATTGTTTTGTTCATTTTTGGTTTCCTACTGAGTCTCGTGATTGCCATAATATTGACACGGCAGCATATTGGGCAGACAAAGAGTCTCCGTGGCAGAGGCTAGCAGTGGCCATCCCTTCATAGTGTTCGGAGCAGAGACTGTGCAGTGTGCATGCCAACCGAACTGTAGCTGTGTGATGACACAATGGGAGGGCACAGCCACCATCCTCAGGAGAAGTCCGGTGATTGCCAGAAGGAGAATCTGTTCAGTCTGCACAGGGAGGCGACACTGCTTGGCCATGTGCAGGAGAAGGGGGTGGGTGTTCAGCCGGGTTGCTCTCCGGAGGCTGTTCCGCGTGCAAGTGCAAAGGAACATACTGTTCCTGATGGAGTGAGAGTTTTTGCTGATTGGTTGTAGAAAGAGTTCATACTTCCCGCTGTGTGAACCCTACTGCCATTTTCCCATAAGACCCATGAATTATCCGCAAAGGTGACAGCACTGAAATGACCTGGACGATGCAAGATGTATGCGCGAATATGTGGGTCCAGGCCGGGCAAGGGGTTCTGGGGAGCAGGCTGCAGTTGTAGTCTTCTTCCCATGAATGCCATAGACAGGACTTCGATGTTCACTCCAGGTGCAGTACTGTCATCCTCTGGGCAGACAGCACGGTGCTCTTCTTCTATCCAGCGGACGATATTGGACTTAGACTGACAGGACTATGCCCAAAGACTCGATGAAAACACTTAGGCTGAGAGGGTTATTCCCAAAGACTCGATGAAGAGATTTACGCTTAAACCACCTGTACATGGGCATACATCAGCCACAGGCCCCTCATGGCGCATTTCGGAGGTCCGAAATGCAACACTGGCCATGATGGAATTAATCAACCGCACGCTGGCCCAAACTTTTTGGACCAGGCGACGAGTTTCTTTCCAGCAAGGCCGGGACCGTTTTTACTGGCAGTTAAAACCCGGCCTTGCAGAAAAATGTTGGTCGCCTACTCCGAAAATTTTGCGGCTCGGGCTTACCAGACCACAATGAGGGATGCTGGACCCGGTTTCCAGCAGGTGCAGCTCCCCACCAATAGATGGAGCCTCTCCGAGAATGCTAGTGGTGCCTGCTCTTAGCAGCATCCCTAGCAACAGATCGTTTTGTCTTAAAAAAAAGAAAAAAAAAAAGAAAAAAAAAAAAGACCACAATGGCTGGTGGGGCCAGCCCAAAAAGACAAAAGAAGTGTGTCGCTGGTGGTTCGGAAAAGCTTGGCGCGCAGTGCAGTGTCCCAAAGGATTATTCCCAGACACTTAATGAAAAAGCTTTAGGGTGGCAGGGCTACTCCCAAATACACACACACACACACACACACACACACACACACACACACAC